GCCGCTTCAGCGCAGGAGTTTCGGGGCTCGCTCCCGCTTTCCTGGTGCGGCACTGGGAATTTCTGGTGGGAGCCGGGCGCTGAGAAATGCGGCGATTAGGCGAGGAAATAAGATAATGGGGCTTGGCAGAGCTTTCCTTACAGAATTTGCTAAAAATAGGATATCCACGAAAATAAATGCTGAATGCTTACTCTCCCTTTCAAGCTCCCCCCCCCCCCCCCCCTTCTTTTTTTTTTTCTTTCTTAAATTTTCTTTTCTGCCCCACTGTCCTGTTCGTTTAACTAACCTCCTTTCTCTTGCTGCCTTTAGAACATACCACTGGATGATAAACCAGATCAAGTGTCTTGGACTGAAATGGGACAGGGTACCAATGAAGGAAAGCGAAGAAGAGAGCTGGAAGCAGCTTGGTTTTCTCCAAGCCCGTTGAGGCTGCTGAGCAAAGAGCCCTGAGCTTTGCCTGAGATGCATTTAAAGAAAAACCAAAGACTTTCGTAAAGGACTTCTAGCGAAGCGTCCACGTGTTTTGAGTGGCACAGCTTTGCGAACGATTATCTTCTATTTATGAGACGCAAGGAAGATTCAACACTGACTGGTGGTGTTAAACACAGTTTAAATTATTTGTAGTATCTATATTTGTATTTATTTTGATGAATGTCTTTCAGCAGTTACTGGTCTTAATATTGCTTTTGCATTAATATGTCCATTCCAAATAAATTACTTGAAATGTTCACTTTTTATTACTATACTCTGGGCTGCAGTAACTTTTCTTGACAGATGTTTGTGGAGCGGGCAGTGGTGTAGTGGCCTAAAAAGAGCGGGCAAGCTTAGCTTTTTGGTGCCCTGGACTGGGCAGTGGGAGGTGGAGAAAGCCCAGATAACCCATTTGTGTTTGACCTTGTCGCCCAACCGGGAAAGGAAAGCGTGTTGAGGTCCAATTCTGGTCAGCGGTGGAAAAGCCTGCCACAACTCGGGTAAGTGCCACTTTTGAAGCGCTTTCCCATATAATCGAGTAATGGTGGCTGCAGAAGGCACAAGAGCTCCCCGCAAAACTAAAGCGCTGCTGCCTGCTAGTGCCCGGTGTCCTTCCCCAGGCCCCCATAGCTTAGTGCGGTGCTAAGGCAGAAAACTGGATTCTTGACTTCGGAATAACACAGCGCTGATGCTCCATGGGATTCCTCAGCTTTGCAACGACGCAAGCTGAACTCCTCGCGCTCTCCTCTTCCTCTACCTCTGCAGTCTCTAGATCAAATTAAACTTCTACAGGATAACTGGGAAGAATGGAGGCTGTCTTTTTCTGATAGCACCTGGACCAAGAAGCTTGGAGAAAAAAGCAGCTAATTTTTTTTTTGATAAAACTACTGAAGTTTTATCTTGTGAGGCTCAACTATCACTAACTAACCCGGGCTTCCTCGAGAGCAATGCTGCAGCACATGAGTCGGCTCTGGCAGTGAGGACTGCGAGCTTAGCAGGCAAAGTACTTGCTGCTAAAGCTCCAAACTTGGTAATTGCAATCGGGTAACTTCCCCCTCCCCATATCAGTGCAATTTTTGCAGGAGACTTTGTTCTAGAGGAAGTTGCAAAGTATGTAATTACAAGTGGCCTGTAGTAAGAGCAAGAGAGACTCAATAGAGGGGAAAAAAAGCCCTGGAAGGAGAGTTGGCCCCCGTTTCTGGAAGCAGCAGGGACGCTCTGGCACTGCAGTGTGCTACATCGGGGCTTTGCATCCTCCTTGCACGCTGCTGGGGGCTGTGCTGCCGCGCGCCGGGCCCGTGCAGAGGCAGGGTTGCGCACGACTGAGCTGTGGATGTAGCAAGACATTCGGCCACAACATTCAAAAGCCTTTGGCCTCGGTTCCCCTCTAGCACAAAAATGCCAGAGGTGCATTTAACGCAGCAAAATGACACTCAAAAGCAGATGTGTTTTACCCCAGTTTTCCCCGGTACCGTTGTTGGGGGGGAGGAGTGTGTGTGAAATAAAAGGCCAAACCAGAGCAGAGGCATTGGCTCCTAATCCCCTTAGTTTTGATGAATCCAAGGAGGAATGACGCCTGACAACAG